AGGGAGAGGGGGGAAGGGGGGTAGGAATAGTCGAAGCAGTGGGGGCTGCAGTAGAGGCAGGAGTATCAAAGGCAAAGGTCATGACTGTAGAAGGCATGGTATTTGTGTGTGGCTGGTAGACAAACTGACCTCAGCTATGTGAGGGGAGAGGGAGCTCAACACTTGTGAAGTGGGGGAACCTGGAATTGCAAAATGGCTTTGTGTCTTTGTGCACCTGACTAGATGTTAGTGGATGATCTGACAAGAAAAAAAATACATTACCTTTACATATTGATCCCAAAGATTGGCATTGTCCAGTGAGATCATTGCACCATGCTTTTTATCATAAGTAAAACCAGAGGCCACTGATTTAAGATCAGCAACAGCATAGTAGGATTTTTTATGCTGGATAATTGTTAGCAAGGAAACAAAAAGGATGATACAATGACCTACTACCTTGAACTTCCACTCACACAACTCCACTGTCTTATTGCCATTATCTGGACCCAGTGGATAATGATTGGCCATGTGGGCTGCTGCAGCATTCCACATAACCTTCTTAAAGTTTCCATCACTGGTCTGTGAAAGATGAGAGGCCAGGAAATCAAGTAATGCACCTTCCTTCTCTGTTGTCCATACCACAGCTTTCTTGTGGGTCCTGGAGGGGAGGCAGGGGGTTCCACAGGTCTAGAGGATTTATTGTAAGACCATGCAAGTGCAATGAGTGGGCTGATCCTGCAGATGAGCCAGATATTTCACAATTGCAGTAACTGAGTGACAATTGTTGGTTGCATACCTCAGGTGGATGCACATGGTTGTTCACATCACATGATCCTCTTAACCAAAGCTGAATTTGAAAACTTGGACTTCATGTTCACAGGGTGAATGGCACCTTATCTTTTCCAGAAACAAGACTAGCATCAAGGCAGAGTTGTTCCATGTCTTTTAGGTAATGAGTGATATCTTCAGTATGCCCAGAAAACCCCAGGGCTTTGTTGGAACCTCTGAGCAGCATACCTTTAGCTCCAGACATCATGTAGAGAGGTGCAGGAATCTGGTTTGGAATTTGGAGAATAGAAGGCATGGGATTTGAGAGAGACAAGGCAGGGGTATTCTGAACAGGTATTTGAGTAGGAAGGGTAATAACAGAATTTACAATTAAGGAGTGGCAAGGAGGGAGTAGTTGTTCAGCACCTAGTTCTGAATCACTGGATGGTGAGGAAATGAGGAAGTTAGTTCTGATAGAGGTGAGAGTTCTTGATGCTCAGTGGGAGGTGTGAAGGGTTTGTCAAAGTTGAAACCTCTGGGAAATGCTGGGTAAAATGCTGGGGACTCAGGACTCTGAAAGATCTTGTCTAAACTGAGATCTGAGTCTGACAAGTGTGGCTCTGAAATGTCTCTGGGATCAGCTACCAGGATTAAGATTTCTGATGAAGAAATAGATAGTCTGCTCTAGGAGCTCTTCAAGTTTGGTTCTTTGATGAGTGGGTCATAAGGATCTCCTTTCTAGATCTACAGACCCTCACAGTAGGCTCCAAAACATTGTGAGATCACTTCAGTCAACCCCCTTTGGAGACCTATTAGGTCTACATATTTCTACAGATGTATACACCTATGATGTCTTGACAGGTTGGGTATCCCCAACCACTGGTGGGGAAAGGTTTTTCTCCAGCACCATGCCTGGGGATTCTCCAGGCCCCCTATGGATTTCTCCACAATTAATATATGTTTCTGCAAATATGTCAGAGTGACTGAGGTCCAGATAGGCCTTTCTCCAGCTGAAATAGGGTCTCCATTGGACTTTCTCCATGCAAAAAGGGACCTGAATGAGGGTTTCTCCAGCTGAAATAGGGCCTTAATGGGCCTTTCTCCATGCCAAAAAAAAGACCCAAATGGTGCTGTCTCCAGCTGAAATAGGGCCTCCATGGGACTCTCTCCACACCAAATGGTGCTTTCTCCAGCTGAAATAGGATCTCCATGGGACTTTCCCCATACCAAAAAGGACCCAAATGAGGCTTTCACCAAATGGGTTGAGAGAATCACCTAGCAGTTGTGGGGAATCTCCAACAAAGTGTGGAGAATGTCCAAGTGGGTTGGGAGATTCTCCAAGCAGGTGTGGGGAATCTCCAAGTGAGTTGGGAGAATCTCCATGCAGGTGTGGAGAATCTCCAAGTGGATTGGGAGAATCTTGATGCTGGTGTGGGGAATCCCCAAGTAGGTGTGGGGAATCTCCATGCAGGTGTGGAGAATCTCCAAGTAGGTTGGGACAATCTCCATGCAGGTGTGGGGAGTCTCCAAGCAAGTGTGGAGAATCTCCAAGTGAGTTGGGAGAATCTCCAAGCAACCCAACCCCCTTTCCATAGACAGTGGGATGTCCCATGATAGCTTTGGAGGCTACTGTGGGACATCCCCCCCCTCTCTGGAGGCCAGTGGGATGTCCCATGATAGCTTTGGAAGATACTGTGGGACATCCCAACCCCCTTCCACAGGCCAATGGGATGTCCCATGGTAGCTTTGGAAGCTACTGTGGGACATCCCACTCCCCCCTCTGAAGGCCAATTGGACATTCCACCCCTCTCCATAGAGGCCAGTAGGATGTCCATGTACTATACATATGTCAGAATACCAAAATGCTCTCAGATCAATTTTGTGGCAGCTTCAAGACAACCAGATCCACCATGCAGGTCTGTATTGACATATTGCACAGGTAATGTTATTTACTTTTCATACTAACTCACAGAGCACAGTGAAGGGCCAATGTTGCAGATTAAATGGGGGTAAATTGTGCAGCTGCAAATGGTAACAACATGGTGGGTCTGATAAAAGATAGACCTGTTTTAGTAGCAATGCAGGTAGATTAATTCTCAACACAAAAATAGGCTCTTAGAAAAAGCATTGAACAATGTTTATGGGGCAAAGTTAATGAGAGAACCTAGACAAGACCAAAATAAATCCAGAAGTCAGCCTCTGCAGCTCTACAGTACTTGCATGTAACATAGAATGATGATGATAACAACACCTGATTAGTAAGCATAAGATGTTGCCCTGAAATAATGGGTAGATGGCCTGAATTTTGAGGGGAATAAAAACACTCAAAACTCAATTTCCTTCAAGTTTGACAGGTAGGGTTTTTCCACATGGTGAGGGGGGTGGGAAGGTTGGAAAGCAAGGATTGAAAGTGGTGTTGAGGCAAGGTTAGCAGTACTAAAACCCATGGAGTTATTCAGTAAAATGGTGGGTTGTTGGGATGGAATAATGATGCTTGCAGTTATTACATGAGTAGCAAGTGGAACAAAAGGAAAATATCAGAAAAGAAGATTGGTGTCATGCCATATCATGATAAATACCAGGTGTAACAAACCATAATGAATATACAACAACCAATACAGAAAGAGTATGTACCACTTCATAATAACATACACATGCAACAGTAGTGAGCAGAATGGAAGACATAATAATGAAAATGGAGGAAATACATCACTAATAAGTGGAGACTCGAACCCCTGAAGGCCCAAAACAGAGGGAATATGTACCACTTGGTAATGGAATACATGTGCAATGGTGGTAAATGGAGAGCCTTGGAAGATGAGCTCTGTTTGTGTGGGTTTCATGTGTGCAATTGACAATGAAACATTGGTAAATGCTGAAACAGCAAGAGAACAGTAAGGAAGATGCAACAACCAAGACAGAGGGAATACATACCACTTAGTAATATGATACACATGTGATGATGGTGAACAGAAAGGCTTGGATGATGCCATGACTCTGTTCCCAAGGGTCTTGTAGATGCAATCAATGAGAACCTTCAAAGGCTCCAAACCCCCAGGGCACCAAGCCCTCAACTCTTGTGGACAACCATGCCAAACAGTCAGGGCAAGAATGGATGGAGGTCAGTAACAACATGTCCATGAACAGATCCCAATCTTGAAACCTTTGTATTTGTGATATCTCCACTTACCTGCACCAGGTGGAAAATCCATTAGTAGTCATGTTGTTGGTTACACTTGAGCCAAATTAAGAATTAAAAATAAAAAGCAAAGCCTTATTCAAAACAGGTATGTTTACAGGGTCACCATGAAAAATACTCTGGTCAAAGTATGCCAACACTCATCTGCCAGGGACAGATCCCTTGGTTCCATGTCCAGATGTCCATGGACAAGAACAGTGGCAGAGTCAGGGGTGTCAGTGGACATTAGATGGATTGATACAGGGGGAGTGGGGACCTCCAGTCTGATGGGGGAAAAGGGGAGGATAGGGACTGCAGTGGTGCCCTCCTGACAGGATGATGACATTGAGGGAGCCAAACTCGATGGAAATGATGGTGCTATGGGAGATGATTACTGTCAAGGAACAAAAATCTTGGAAAATTGCCCACCTTCATGCTGGGATCTCAAAAGTAGGATGTCAGCAAGGGTTTCAGCATCAACTGCACTCAGTTCAAGATGCAAAACAATAGTGATTAGAGCACCTGCATAACTGTTGAATGTTAGCTATCAGACAGTGGTTAGAAAATCACACACTTAGGTTGATGGCACTTATGCTTCACCCATTATCAAGTGAGGGTGGCTGGCACATAGTGAGACAAGGATTGGAAGGGAGAGGGAGAGAAACACAGACCATATTGTAAGTTGATAGGTGGATCTCCAACAGAAGGTTCTTCTTCCCCATTTGTTAGCAGCCATGGAATAACATGTAGGATCCACCTCAGTGAATCCTGCATGCATGGTCTGTAGAGATGTCATAATTACACTCTCATTAAACGGATCATTGGGCACCCCAGGTAAAGAATATAACTAACAGAATAGATGCAAAGGCTAAACACTTACTTGTTCATGGCTCACTATGATGGAAGCAGAGACAACACTAGGAAGGACAGGAAGACTTAATTAGCATCCCTACACAGGAGTAATCAGGGATCAGGAACTGAGGAAACAAGCGAGCCTCAAACTCACCAGCTTGTAAAATGAACAGAATATACTCAGGAAATGAAAAGGTAGAGTTTAGGGTATATCCATACCAAGATGACTTTCAAAGGCTCCAAGCCTTTGAGAGCTGCCAAGGGCACCAAGTCCCTGGCACTTGGTGGGGGACACACCAAATGTTCCCCTGGCATAATAGATGTTGAAGAGAACATACCATTGACCATGAAAGTAAGAAAGTGAAGAAGAGAAACCTGATTAGCGTCTCCACACAAAGGCAGTTGGAGCTCAGTGAAGGAAGGGAGATGCAAGCCTCAAACTCACTGGCAGGAAAATTGAAAAGACTCTAGTATTGGAAGGAGAAGATGGAACTGAGGGTAGCCATGGCAAACCATTGGCCTTAATAGATAATGGAGAGAATGCTGCATTAACCAGGAAAGTGAGAAAGTGAGTAAGAGAAACCTGATTAGTGTCCCTATACAAAGATGATCAGAGATCAGCAAAGGAAGGGGGAGACACAAGCCTCAAACTCACCAGCAGGAAAAGTGAAAGAGTCTTGTCTCAGATGGAACAAGGCAGACCTGGGGGTAGCCACAGAAAACCATTGGCCTTAATAGATGACAGAGAGAATGCTGCCTTAAGCAGGAAAGTAAGAAAGTGAGCAAGAGGAACCCAATTGGTGTCCCAATACAAAGATGATTGGAAATCAGCCAAGGAAGGGAGATGCAAACCTTGAACTCACCAATGGGCAAAGTGAACAGAGTCTTGTCTGAGAAGGAGAAGGCAGAGATGGGGGCAGCCAAGGACAAATGTCAACCTTAACAGATGACAGAGAGAATGTAGCATTGATCAGGAAGTTTGAGAAAGCAAAGAGAAACTTGATTAATGTCTTGGGGAGATGCAAGCCTCAAACTCACCAGTGGGTAATGTGAACAGCTGAGTCTCATTTGGGAAGTAAAAGATGGACTCCAGGGTAGCCAAGGAAAGCTGGCAGTCTTCAATGCCCCAAGTTGTGCTATATGAAGTAGCACCTCCATGAGATGGAGTCTTGTCTGCATGACCAACAGCCAATCCATACCAAGATGACTCTTGAAGGCTTGGAGCCTTTGAGAGCTGTCAAGGGCACCAAGCCCCTGATGCTTGGTAGGGGACACACCAAGCATTCCCCTGGCATAGGATTGATGACAAGAGTGGAGAGTTGAGAGTAGAGAAGGGAAACAAGTGTGCAAATGTGTTTAAATCTTTTTGTTGAATCTATGAACATTATGAAATAGATGTCAAAATAAGGTTTAATGTCAATGTTCCCTGAACCTAATTTCTTGCAGTGATCTCATCTGTATTCCAAGGTACCTGTATTGTTATCAACTGTTCACTGACACCTACCATGGTTATTTGTCAAACAAATATATCACCCTTGAGCTGCTGTCTGTAGGTTTGACATCAACTTTTTTGTTTTTATTATATCTTCTGCTCACAATGACAATGACAGTCCTACTCTATCGGTTGACATGCTGCATTTTTCCTCTACCCCAAATGCCAGATTTCCATTCAATTGACCCTTCTCAATAGGATTGTGCAAGCTAGAAGGAAGCAAGGGTGCTAGTGTGAATTAGGCATGCAGGCTTCTTCCAGGACCAAACAAATAGCTCAGTAGTGAATGTTTCATCCTCCATTTTCTCTTCTTCCTTGCCTTCTTTTCTTCACTCACTTCAAATCAGGTGTGTAACCCTTTGTGCAAGATCATAAATTGTCCACTAAACAATGTTTGGCCTGAACCCAGTCTTTCCTTACCCAGTCATTCCTTACCTGAATGTCTTTTCCTTTCCATCTCACTTGATTTTGCATCAGCAAAGAGTGTGTGGTGACTACATGTTCCACAGTTTGACTACATGTCTACCAGGTCAGATTCATCATGCCTGTGACTAGGTCATCTGCTGTTACTTTCTAAGTTGGTCCCCCTGTTGGTGCCCAGAGGTCAAAGAGAGTCAATCCTACCATCACTTCACCCACCAAAGCCCAACCTTCACATGGTGCAAAGGCCCATCACCAGGTAGTCAAACATGAGTACAGACCTACTTCCTGTGTCTTGTGTACTACTGTCTCAACTCTTTCCATCAGTGTGAGGCAGAAATCAGGATATGATTTCTGAAACACACAAGCCAATGTCAGGGGATGGTGAGGAGTGCCTGGTGTGTAGCACTACCTTTTTTTTTTTTTTTGCTTACTGACCACTGTTTTCAGAACTGCAAATCCAGCTCTGTAGCTCAACATCCCCCTCTCCAACTGTGCTCAACTTGCAATTCTTCACAAGGGTTGACAGAGAAAGAACATGAGGATCAGTATCTTGACTCCTTCCAGACAAGACAGGTTACACTCCAGGGTGGTATGAAGCTTGACCATGCTGTTGCCCTTGAGCAGCTATGATTGGGCCTCATTTCTATGGAAGATATAGTTGCTGAGCAGGGTTGCAAGAAGTGTAAGTGTGTGATCTATGTATGTAGCTGTATTCCTTCTCAAGGTTGCCACCAGCTGTTACCCCCAATGACAGTGAAGAGGATGAACAAGCTGTTGAGAGTACAGTGCAAGCTGAAGGTGATCTGGTCTCAGAGAACCTGGTGGATCATGATGGTCACCAAGCTGTTGAAAATATGATGGACTCCATTTGTCATGATGATGTTGAGCATGAAACTGCATCAGGTTTGTTTATTTGATTAAACTGCATTATTCACATAATTTACATGTGTCATTGAATAGACAGTGATTGGTCAGCTGACCAGAGGCATGACCTTAAATGCAAACAAACCCTGAGAGAAATATGTGCTGGAAATTATGATACTGATAACCATCCTTCCACACCCCCTCTCCCTTCTCCATCCTCATCAGAAGAAGAAGACAGAGCTGCTGATACCAAAGGTGACACTGACAGCTCTGTGACCAGGAGGCATAGGGAAGCCAAAGGGAAATCTTGTGCCCTAGCCAACACATCCTCTGAAGATGAGGATGGACCTAGTGACACTGGAGACCTCCCTGATGGCTTGGAGATGACTGGGATGCATAGGAAACCCAAAGGATGACATCATGCCTTCTGCAAGGTAGTAGTCACACCCTCCTCACCTACCCTGGCCAGTGACCTCAGTCAATGCAAGGATGCATCCAGTGCAGAAGCAGGCTTACTGTGCTTCAAACCAGGGCAGCTTCCCTTGGAAGCCATACAAAAGGCACAGGCACTTGGCATGTGCACCACTCAAGAAGCCCAGGTGATTGCAGATGAGTATGGCAAGACTCTTTGGTCAATCATGGCTGCTGGTGGTCTTACCACAAAGGCAACTCATACTGAATCTGTGTGGAACATGCATCAGGCTTGGTATGCACATACCAATCCAAAAGTGTCTGCAGGTCAGTACATCCTAACTTGTTGCAGTTTTGACTCCACATTGATTCAATTGCAGAGGAAACCAAAGACTACTATAGGCATCACACCAAGCACTATGAGGACCATAAAGATGAGGACAAACATCCTCAACTGTGGGCTGAGATCCAGAAGTATTGGAGTGAGTGTGTCAGTGGGTCCAAAGACATCAGTTCCAAGGTGATGGTGGGCCATGTAATGGCTTGCCATGACTCCTTTACACAAGGGGTGGGTAATACCATTGTGATTGTTTGCTTCTTGAATAACCTCTTGTACAGGCACAAACTTGGTGCAATGTGGAGGGCATACATGTCTTTGGATGTGTAATTTATAGTGGGAGTGATGAAGCTGCATGCCAATCCCAAGGAATTTTTGCTGGATCTTCCCTTCTCATGCAGCTTGCAAGTGAGAGGCAGACTGACATAACACAATTATTAGAATACCTGTCCACAATTATCAAGTATGTATAACACATGCCATGTACAATTGCCCACCGACTTTTCTTTAGGTATAAAATCCTTAACTATGCTGCTTTGGTGCCTCTTCCTGACTTTAATGTGCTGTCACAACCCCATTATGACCATGCACTGGGATTAAAACCTCAAGAATACAGGTGTGATTGCAATCAGTGAGTTTTACCTACAATCATACTCCATAAATTCTGTATGTCAATAAATCTATATGATTCATATTCATCCTCTCAAGTGCTGCCACAGAAGAGAATGGTATCACACAAGGCTAGAGAAATGTTTCTTGGAAGTCATTGCTTGATCTGCTGTATGTTCATCAGTACACCATCACTGATTGGCCTGCTGGAGTCCCTGCTGTTGGTCTGGATTTCAATGCCAAATGCCTCAATGCTGATGAACTTTGTGCTCTGACTGTTCCTTTCCTGAAAGAGTCAATGGGTGCAGATTACCATGCTGAGGCTCCACTAGATGATGAAGAAGACCAAGCTGAATACCTTTTCCCTTTGCTGAATTCATCATTTTACCTCAAGAAGTGGATTGATAGTGAGTTGTTGACATGAAATGGTTGCCCTCACTGACATGAATAATCCAGATCAGATTGAGCTATTTTGCCACAGTGATGCAAGGATGTGTGACATTCCACTTGTGGTGAACACATTGAGCCAGCACCTCTGTGTTCTTTCTGATTCAGATGCATTTGTTCAGGCCCTCCCTAAAGGTGACAAGTTTAAGGAGAGAAGTGCCCCTTCATCTTTCCCTGGCCAACCTGTGTGAGGATGAGTGCCATCCAACAGATGTCACCCCTTGCCAGCAGCATCCAACACCCACCATATGACTGTGCCTTCTTTATCCCCAGCTTATAGATTACCCCAGCCACCTGTGCAGTGCCATGTGTCTCCCTCAACATCCCACCACACCCGATGACAGCAATCACCATCCTGCACACATCACCCCTCTTCTGCAGGATCACACCACCTGAGGCAAGGGCATTTGCCATCCTATGGGCCTTGTTCCACTCAGCCAGCATCCCACCACTCCCTCTCCCTCCTTCATCCCCTGTTGAGGAGTCACAACAGTCATCTCCATAAGGTCCATTGTTGCATGGTGATCATCACACATATCTTGCTCCAGCAGCTACATATCATCATCACCCTCCTTCTGATAACTACTCTCTGACCCCACATCCTTGCCACTGCCCTCAGCATGAGTCACACAAGCACTATAGAGGATATCAGGACAATGAGAGTGATCATGGTGGTCTTTCACAACAGGGAAGAACTCACCAAAGGTATGTTCCTGGGTAGCCTACATGTACAATGAGACTAACATGCACAGTGTGGTTGAATACATTTATTGAAGCCCTCCCCACAAGAGACATTGTTGTCATGACTCTGATGACTCTGATGGACATTCCTATCACACCCATGATCAATGCAACCACTACTAGGCATGTTTTCATCTTGATCAATTGCTTGCTACTGGCTCATGTACACACCAGTTCAACATGTTTGCATCATTAGCATGTAACTATGATACCCTGTGGCTGTATCATCTTCCCCTTGCATATCCTTCCTTTGTGTAATGTCTGCCATCATTCATTTCGTCTGTTATCCACCATGGTCTTTTTGTTACCATTGTAACTACAATACCCTTACAAGACCATTCATTTTCTCCTCACACCTATGCATATTCAATCTGATAGCATACCCTATCATAAATACAGATTGGATTAAGGTGCAAACTGCTATGTGTGAGATAGGAATGTGAAATCCATGGAACCAGACATCCACTAGAGCTATGATGTCCATGTGAAGGGCATGGGGCTCTGCCCTAGGCTTCAGGGGGAAGAGTTCTCAGTAGCTACCAACATAGACATGCCAGAGTTGGTTAGAGAATCCCCTGGACATAACATGGAGAATCCCCAGCAGTGCTTGGAGAATCTCCAGAGTGGGTTGGGGAATCCCCAGCATTGCCTGGAGAATCCCCATGGAGAATCCCCAGCAGTGCTTGGAGAATCCCCAGATTGGGTGGGAGAATCCCCAGCATTGCCTGGAGAGTCCCCAGAGTGGGTTGGAGCATCCCCAGCATTGCCTGGAGAATCCCCAGTAGTGCTTGGAGGATCTCCAGAGTCAGTTGGAGAATCCCCAGCATTGCCTGGAGAATCCCAAGAGCAGGTTGGAGAATCCCCAGAGTCAGTTGGAGAATCCCCAGCAGTGCTTGGAGAATCCCCAGAGTGGGTTGGAGAATCCCCAGCAGTGCTTGGAGAATCCACAGAGTGGGTTGGAGAATCCCCAGCATTGCCTGGAGAATCCCCAGCAGTGCTTGGAGAATCCCTAGAGTCAGTTGGAGAATCCCCAGGTCATAGCTTGGAGAATCCCCAGCAGTGCTTGGAGAATCCCCAGGACATAGCTTGGAGAATCCACAGAGTGGGTGGGAGAATCCCCAGCATTGCTTGGACAGCCCCTAGAGACAGGATTTGGCTGGGAAATTCCAAGCATTGCCTGGAGGATCTGCTGCATACCCTGTGTATCCCCAGAGTGGGTGGGAAAATTCCATTAAGACATGGACAATCTTTGACTTGCATGCAATGGCCAAGACTGGAGATCACTGAAGCCTTGGGAAGCATGGTGAAAGTATGTCTGCTGTGCCTGGGCAATCACCATCACCAAGCATATTCTACTCCCTCCATCAGATGTCACCAATCTTTCCTTAGTGGTCTATGGCCATGCTTTTTCACATATTGTATAGAGTGCTCAGATCAGATGCCATGGAAATAGGTACTTGGCATGATACACACTCCTGTCAGCAACATGGAGACTCCAAATCATTTTGATTGATCCTTCATGCTGTGATGGTGGTCTATTTGAACTGGAGGTTCCCATGATCATCATGGAATAGGTCTGTTTGGGCTGGATGCCCTGGGACCTGGTCCATTCAGGCTGGGGAAACCCCCAGGATGCACTGGGAACAGGTCCATTTAGGCTGGGGAATCCCCCAGCATGCCCAGAGAACCAGTCTATTTAGGCTGGAGAATCCCCCAGGATGTACAGGGAACAGGTCCATTTAGGCTGGAGAATCCCCCAGGATACCCAGGAAATAGGTCTATTAACTCCCTGGGGACAGCCCCATTTGGACCCCAGGCACTCTGTTATGGATGTAATAATCCTGGAGAAAGTCCATGTCTGATGCCTTGCTCTGGAGAATCTCCAGGGCCTGGCAAGTCTCCAGCAGTCACTGGGAATACCCAGGTGGTCAACACCTATTAGGTGGATACATCTATAAGAATATATGAACCTAATAGGTCCCCTGGGGGGGGTGACTGAATTGGTGGGAATCCAGAATCAAAAATTTTGATTCTGGATTCCCATGACTTTTTGGGGGCAACCTAACACTTGACTCACATGCTACAGGTGAACATACATCAAAAAACAGTGGTCCAAAGTTTTTCCCATGACTTTTTAGGGTGGCCAAAATTTTGGTTAGATTGAATGTGGTACTTAGGGTGTGTGTCATGGTCATGCATTCATCCTAGGTCATCACTCACTCTGCACCAACTCCACCCAACTTCTGTCAGTTACAGGCTGTCTCCACTCCAGCTGCTGTCAGACTTGTACTGCTCTCCTACCAGACTGAATGGACTGTTCTCTGAGGAGTCATGTGACTACCTTCAGACTCCTCCCAGACAGCTCACAGTCAGGTACTCCACAGCACATGCACTGCATGGTCCAGCACCTGGACTGTTTCCTTTTCTGGATGTTCTATGTTACCTGTTCGTATGTCCTCTGTCTACCCTTCATTTGTTGTCTAGGAAGTTTTACTTGAAAATTGCTGGGTCTCCATATGTCAGTTCCAGTTCTGGTTACTGTACCTCCATTGTAGTATAAAAGCATGTATCATACTCCATTGTTCCTCAGTATGAATATCGACTTAGTTCCTACTCCCTCTGTCTCTGTCTTCTGCCTGTCAGAGTTACCTCTGACTGTCCATCTGTACTCCCCCTCTGAAATATGGGGGCTGAGATTGTGCAAGGGGGTAGCACACGAGCTAAACCTGATGCCCTCACTTCACTCCACCCTTACCTCAGTGGATTTCATTCCTGCCAACACTCTGCCAGTCAGAGTTCTGCTCTTTCTGTTGGACTTGCTTCCAAACCTCTCCCCAGACCTCATCCAGCATTGGAGTTGATCAGAGTAGGCCCAGACTTGACAGTGTGGTAACATGTTATTGACCCAATATAAGGTAGGATTAAGAACCACTTCAATGAATGTCATGGCTTTCTGTGAGAGCTGATGGACATCAGGACCCTTCTTGTATTCCTTGGGGCATCTGAGTGACTGCTTTCATTGGGCAGCACACTTTGCTTCTCTCAGAGGTAACCAAGTCTCACCAAGAGGGTCATCACCAGCACTAATGGCAAGGTTGAGTGGAGAAAACTCTAAAGTACTTAAGGTAGTTCAATAAGGGGCAGAGCTGGCCTATGTCAAAGCCAAGTACTTCTGCTCCACTCGTCCTTCAGAAAAACTCTCCAAAAAGTACTTAGGTCTGTTCACCATCTTGGCCAGGCTGGGTACACACTCCATCACCCTTAAGCTCCCTGATTCTATGTGCTCGGTATATCCAGTCTTCCATGTCTCACAACTGGAAGCCACAGTGGCTAACCCTTTCCCAAACCAACAACAACCTCCACCTCTGCCAGTAGATGTTGATGGCAACCTTGAGTATGAAGTGTCAGAGATACTTGACTCTAAGGTGGACCACCATCGCCACCACTGTCAACTCTTGTATCTAGTCCACTGGGCTGGTTACAAGAACACCAATGAGGAAACCTCTTGGTTGCTTGCAACTGAGCTGGACCACACTTCTGACATAGTCTCTGCTTTCCATGAATGCTATCCACACAAACCCAGCCCATATCAACCTCTGCCATAGTACTCCACCCACATAACCCTCCTCTGTGGGCCTGTTCTCCAACCTTAAACCCAGGCAGAGGTATGCATCTGGCATCTGCTGGACCCTGGTAGCGCTGCTGAGCAGTGGACATTTCAGAGCAGAGGAAGTCATGAAGGGTGGAGAGCTCAATGACATAGTCATGAGCCCTTTGAGAGGTGAAGTCTTGGTCAGGGACCACAGACAGGTTTGGGTGGTATCCTTTGTTAGTGAAGAAGGGAGAAACTCCAGTAGTTGCACTTGGTGCATTGTTGAAAGCAAACTCTGCTAGAGGTAACAGCTCAGCCCAGTTGTCTTGTTGGTAGTTGCAGTAGACACAAAGGTACTGCTTGAGGGTCTGGTTCATTCACTCAGTCTGGCCATTGCCTTCTGGGTGGTAACCCAAAGTGAAGTGAAGATGCATATCAGGGGCCTTTCCTAGAGAGCAGAAGAAGTGTGAGACAAACTCAGGACCTCTGTCAGAGGTGACATTTGCTGGCACTCCATGCTTGGAGAAGACATGGGTAAGGAAGAGCTTAGCAAGTTTGGCAGAGGTGATGGAGTCATGGGTGGGGACAAACACCACTTGCTTTGAGAGGTGGTCCACTACCATGAGTATGGCAGAGTAGCCATCAGAGTTGGGGAGGTGTTCAATGAAGTCCATGGAGATGGAGTTCCAAGGTCTCTCTGGGACAGGGAGTTGCTTCAGTAGACCATAAGGGCAGTGACACAGAGTTATGCCCCATCCACAGGCAGTGCAGGACCTGACATATTCTTTCATGTCAGAGTGGAGGTTAGGCCACATGTAGTCCCTGCAGATGAGTTCTAGGGTGCAGTTTTGCCTGAAATAGCCTGCTAGAGGATGGTCATGCTTGAACCAAAGCACTTGAAGGCAGAGGTCATCAATGTCAGGGACAAAGATGTGACCATCAAGGCAGAGTAGACCATCAGAGTCCAGGGACCACTGAGGCTTAGTCAGGGTTGGGAGATGGCTGGTGGAGATTGTGAGAATTTACCTGTGCATAGTCCCTATCCCCCCCTTTTGGGTAGATGTCCTGTGTCAGGTTTGGCTCCCAGGCAGCCAGGTCAGAAGCAGATGGAAAGGTTAAACTGTGAAAGGTACTCTGACCAGCAGGCCTGTTGATGAGTGAGGACCTTAGAG